GGGGGGGAGAAGCTGCGCTCAGCTGGCCAATGAGGGAGGGGGGAAGGGCGGAGCGCGGCCACAAAGTGCCAGTGAGAGGCGCTCGCTGTGGGGTGGGCAGAGTGGCTTGTCTCTATGGTGGCGCCGGAAGTGTGGCGGACGGTTCCGGGGGGGCGGGGCGCGCGGAGGGTGTGCGGCCTGGCGGGGAGGTTAATGGCGGACACCGTTCCCGCCGCTGAGCACTGAGCGCTCCTTCGCCGCCTCCCGCCGCGCCGCCATGTCCGTGGTGCCGCCCAATCGTTCGCAGACCGGCTGGCCCCGCGGGGTGAACCAGTTCGGGAACAAATACATCCAGCAGACGAAGCCGCTCACGTTGGAGAGGACCATCAACCTGTGAGCGCCGCCTCGGGCCTGCCCGGGCTCGGGCCCTGCCCCCGCCCCGTTCCCTCCCGTCCCGCGAGCCCTTCCCCGCTCCGGCAACACCTTCGGAGCCGCCCTTGGGCAGCCCGCCGGAGGTTTTTACCTCAGCACCCGCCGTGCAAAGGTCGTCCGGGGCCCTGGTCCTCCGCCGCCGGGAGGCTGAGGGGAAAGCGGCGGGAGAGCCCGGTTGCCGGCGAGGGGTCTGCGCGCCCACCCCCCCGAGGGCGTGCTGTTAAGCTGTGAGACGCCACACTGTAGGATGTTGTGGGTACTGAAGGCTTGTCAGTGATTGGGAATGTGCGGCAGTTAGTATATATGTTTTAGTATATGGAAGAGTGTGAACCCCAAGTAACACAGAAAGGGAGTATTCAGACACGGTGAACATCGCCTACGCTTCTCTTCTTGTATGCGCTTTCACAGGCGTCTGCCTTTGGTGGCAGAGAGAGAGAGACGGGCCGTTGGCCTGGATGGGATTTGGGCTGACCCTGTGTAGGCAGTAGGATGTGGCTGGGTATGCCTGGTGTTTGCTGATTGTCTGGTGCAGGTATTGTAATTTAAATTCAGAGTGGTTGGTACCGGAGGAAACCTCACTTCTGTCAGAGATACAAACTATTTGCTAATAATCGTGTAGTTATTTTATATGAGAAGTCATATACTTCAGTTTCTTTCAGTAAACTCTGTTGGGTGTGTTCTTTGCTAAGTACGTCTGAAAGTTGCAGAAACAGCAAATGTTAACTTTAACAGTCAATATTAAATTTTAGCTCTTAATCACAGACTTGGTTTTTTTTGGTATAGTTGAGTTTATTCACAGTTAGAGTCTTGTGGAAGTTCAAATATGAACTTCAGACACTGGAATATTTTTATAGTGTTTCTGAAGAAAAGACTCAGCAGGGAGCTTGTGTTGTCATTGTAATTTTTTTTTGAAGTACAGGCTAAGTGTTTTGTAAGATGTACAGACTAATGCACCCACCTTAGCTTAGTATGGGTTAGCACAGTAGGTTATTAATAAAGCTATTTGTGTATCTAAAAATGGAAATGAATGGCAAAAGAAATGTAGATGGTTCTAAGCTATAAGTGAAAGTGGGGGGCTTGCTAATAATCTGCAGTTAGGAAACTGGTTGTTTTGGTTCACTTGTGTACTTTGGGGGGGGGGAAGAGTGTATACTACTAAAGTTTGACATGATTAAGTATTGGGGAAAGAATACACAAGATGCATCTCAAGGAAAATATTCCCCATGAAATCAGTCATTAATTCTGTTAATTCAGTTGCTGTATGTCACAAGCCAATAAAACCATGGTAATAACTCATTACTGCTCTGCCCAGAACCCATTTTCCTCTCCCTTTTTGACTTAGGTGGATGATCCTGTCTTCTCTCCAGGTCTTGTGCTATCAGATCTCTGTGTTACTTGGATTTTGTTGTACAATAACGTTCTCCTGTTGTCCTCTGTGCCCTCTAGGACTGACCAATTTCTTGCCTAATCTTTCCTTTGTTTTCTACTCTTTTCTACTCCCTCTTACCTGGAGAAATCTCCCAAGTATCCACTGTACTGTTACGAGAGAATGCAGAGGTCCAGAACCTAGCCCAACAGAGTGATCTGCTCAAACTCTTGATCTTACCCCAGGCTCCCAGCCCTGCAATTAGACAGTCAGCATTTCTCCTCTTCTGTGATCCAGATGTCTGATTTCCCACTTCAAAACAAAACCACTTCTAACAGTTTAGTTCTCAGGCTCTTCATTATGTCTGCAGAAAACAAAAACGCTGTCCTGTGCAGCTTGCTTCCTTCCCAGCAGAGCTTTTCTCTCCTGTTCCTCTCCCAGCTCCTCTCAGAGCCTCAGTTGCCTTTTCTCTGGAGGGCGGAGATCAAAGAGGGTGGCTGTTGAACAACAGTTGCTGCTGGTTCTTTTGGGCTTCTTTCCTTCTTTTGAATCAGCACCACACTAGCGTGTCAATCAGCAGGACTTTCTGCGCTTGTATGCATCATAGTGCAGATCTTCCTGTGATAGGGACCCCGTAAGTCTCAAACAAGAACCACTAGCCCAGTTACTGTTCCATCAAGCACAGAAGGTTCTGCCTCAGGGTAGATGCTGTGTCATAGTAATTTAAATTTAGATTTCTTGTTACGCAGTAACATTTTTTTTTTTTCCCCCTTACAGGTATCCTCTGACAAATTATACATTTGGGACGAAGGAACCCCTGTATGAGAAGGACAGTTCCGTGGCAGCTCGTTTTCAGCGTATGAGGGAAGAGTTTGACAAGATTGGCATGAGGCGGACAGTGGAAGGGGTTCTGATTGTACACGAGCATAGGCTGCCCCATGTGCTGTTACTGCAGCTGGGTACAACTTTTTTCAAGCTGTAAGTGTCTGTTTCTTGAATGTAACTTTTAGTTTAACTTTATTGTCACAGACCACTAAACATGCAGGCTAGAGGTTAAAGTGTGGCTAACTGATTGATGTTTTGAATGTGATTCATTTCTTGCAAAGACTTAGTCTGGGAAAACTTTTTTGAGTGGTGGCATTTTCATCTGAAGTGCATTTGTCTGACTCTGCTCACGAGTGGCGTGACTTAGTTTGGAACCGACTGGAAGCCTTAGTTATGGTGCATCACTATGGTAAAATCCTGTTTAAAACTCGTTATCAGTAGTTAGTGTGTTGTGCTTGCGTTGTGAAAGCTGTTACGCTTAAATATGCTTATGCTATGGCAGCAAAAATGGTAAAGTAGAGCTCAAAGAATAAGCCCCAGTAAATGTAGAATGATACCTGTTTACAAACTACTGGGTGAGCTGGGGACAGCAAGAAAGGTAGGCATCTAAATTTGAGAAAATTGCTTCAGTTCATCTCATAGTTATCACTGCCAGAGTGAAATTTTAGCGTTTGGATCATATGGTCGTAGTGATGGTGGTGGTGCTTGTTTTCTTTTTTAAACTGGATGGGCTTGACTTGTCTCAAGTTATCCTGCTTGTGTTCTTGCTTTTACATTTTAAACATTTATATTGTTTGTTGTCAATTTTGTGTGCGTGAAATCTAATTTTATATCCAGATTCTTTTTTGACATTTTGATTTGGGGGATGTTTGTGGACAAAATAGGCTAGACTCTAAAAGTTTTGCAAAACTCTGTAATGATGAAAATGTGTTTTTAGGTTTTTTTTCATTAACCTTGCATCAAATGCAGGATGGTTCCCCACATGAGTTTTATTTTCTGCTTCCTGTGTGCTTCAGTGAGTGCTGTTTTTGAGATAAGAACAAATACGGTCGGTATCTACAACTCTCTTCAACTTCTGGTGCTTTTATATTGTTGTTAAAACTTTACCTTTTAAGTGTCCCAGTTATTATTGTGTATATTGTTATACTTTGTCCTGCTGAAGTTGAAGTACTTTGTATAATAGTTATTTTGTAAGGGACATACAGTAGCGATTTTAGTCATGGTTTTGATGAAAGCTATCCTACTGTCTTCAAATTCAGCAAAGTTAGCTTTGGAACTTCTGACTTAAGGGCCTTGAGTGCATTTGTAACTCCCTGCCTGGAAGAACATCCAAACTTACCTGTGAAAGTCAGTAAATGCAATAAAACATAACTTTAGCTTTCGTCATTGATTATTTTAACAGACCTGGTGGTGAACTCAATCCAGGAGAAGATGAGGTAGAAGGGCTCAAACGCTTAATGACAGAGGTCTGTTTTCTTTTGTTATGTTGCTATACCGGACTGTTGGATTATTTTAGAGTTAACAGAATAAGCCAAAGCAGTAGAGTAGTCTCCTTACCGCTTCTGTTATTTTGATGCTTTTGTGATGTTCTCAGGTAGTTAAATGAGAACTTATGGCTTTATTTGTTACCTGCATCGTGAGTGTGACAGAGTGGTTTAGCAGCTGACCTCCTACCTGCTGCTCAAGTCCTGTGTTCATTTGCAGCTTTGCTTTTTGGCTGACTTCAGGCAAGTGAGTGTGCAGATGGGCAATAAAATATGTTGTGGTGCACAGCTGATGAGGACTTGCCTTTGAGATAGTCTTCCCAATGCACCAATTAACCTTCCATGCTCTCCAAGTAACCTAAAATAATTCTGTCAGGTAGTGTAACAATGCATTTCATTCTTCCCGTTGGTCTGGCGGGACTCAGTTCAACTGAACACAGCATGGAATTTGAAATGCTCTTGAAAGTGTCCTTGTCCTGTCAGGTGAGGCTTTTGCTAAAACATGTCACTTTTTACAAAAATACTCTAAAATTCTATTAAAAGCTGTTCCAGAGCAGTTCTGAACTACATCAGACCCTTATCACAGCCAGTCTTCATGTTTCCAGTATATGTTTTCTAAAAAAATTGACTTGGGTTAGCCAGGGTTTTGACTGTAACTGGATTTTTGGTAGATACTGGGTCGCCAGGATGGTGTTCAGCAAGACTGGGTGATTGATGACTGCATTGGTAACTGGTGGAGACCAAACTTTGAACCTCCACAGGTGAGTACTCGTGTTGACTTTCATCATCTTTAGTCAAGTACTGATTGTTCTTCCAAAAGCCTTCAACCTACCAGTTGGGCTTTTTGAGTACCTGCTGCATGAGCAATTAGCTTTTCTGGGTTTTTTACCTATTTCACTTCGTTTTTGTGGCTGAGGAGAAACTACAGACTTTTTTCTCTGGAAACTCCCGTCTCCCTCACAGCCGTCCTGATGGATGAGAAACCACTGGATGTAATAGCTTCCAGTCCTTTGCTGAGCCAGGCACACCATTTAAATTCCTGTTGTAGCCACAATGGAAACTCTTGCACTGCTGCATGTGGAACAGAAGCCCTGTGAATAAAATAGTTTAGCTACCCTGTTTCTAAATTCTTTTAGCGCTGAAAATACTTGCTCAGTTTGCTGTTATGCATT